AGCTTAATCAGGACCCTCAAGCTTCAACCACATATTTCTACCGGATAAACTCTGTGAATTTTAAAGTAAGAAAAAGTTTTAAGCTCGCCAGCCCAATTGATGTTGACCACATTCTTGTTTATTGCGTTCTCTTCCAAAATGTATTGGAGTCTTCTCACTGCATAGTGTAGAAGACGACTAACATAATTAGACATCACCCTGCAAGCAAATAAGGAAGTCAGACATCTTTCTCTTCTAGCTATTGTACTTCCCGACACTATTTTTGAGATCCTAAGTGAGAAGGACGGAGATAGAAGAGAGACTGAAAATTAACGAAGTGTTGCGATGAAACATTCATTTTTGTGAAATGAACCTAAAAAGCGGTCTAAATATGAGTAAGAATAAATTCACAAATTCCTGCTAAATTTACAGCACATAGCTTCTAGCTTCCATATAATTTGCAGTTCCCTTCAAACTTCTTCATTTGGTACCCTTGTAAAATACGAGGCATGTGCACCACACAGCTCTGATAATTCGGTCTTATAGGCTAATGCGAGCTTATCCTCCACTAACTTTCTCACTCATCTTAATGCATTGAGCACTACTGACGTCACTTTCGTGCTAATCGTTCCAGCACAAATTCGAAGCAGAACTTTTTAACGTTTACGCACTCATGGGCAGGCTACAGCCAGTCAAAGAAATTTCCTCTACATTTCTTATTGCAATTTTTTCGAACATTTCCGCACTAACAGAAAAAGTTAGCTGTAATTCTGCTCTAATTTCCGCACCAAGTAGACTATAGTTTCACAAGAACTTCCACGATTGCTAGGGTTTACAAAAAGCAATATAAAAAAGCAATATAACTGCTTCGAGTACGATATGAGAAAAAAAGGATGCTATTGTCCTTGGAGTGCCCCCAATGATGTTTGCTCTATAACGACGAATGTAAGCCTGCTTGGGTGCTTATACAAAAAAGCAAAGAAAAGAATGGAATCATCAATAAGTGTAGTCCAAAAATCCTACGGAGTTTGCTTGATTTTCTCGTTGTTCTTCGCATCAAAGCATATTCCAACTTTTCTCTGTATCAAGTTCGTTCTATTATGAAAAAATCTGCTATTTAGTCTGTATCACAAATGAAAAGATAAACAATTAGGTGTGATGTTGTGCAGCGCCTTGCCTCTGTGAAGCTATGATAAAAGCGAACATCACTAGATGAATACCTGTTTAGTGCCATATAAGTGAATTTGCTGCAATGAAGATTGAAAAATCATGTCATAATTTTTATATCATATCCTCGCATCAGATTGTCAACCTAGTGTCTCATGTATATGTAGCTAGAAGATAAGTTTTATTATGCTAGATAGCCGAAAATTTTTTCTTTTTTTTTTGTACGCGGATTTTTTATTAGCAAATAATTCATTGTTGACAGTTTCAAAAAGGATAGTATCACAAACAGAAACAAAAACACCTTCCGCCTTGAGGAGAAGTTCATAAATGGCACAAGATTGGGAGCTGACAAAAGCTTTTTACTAAACTTTTGAAATTGAAGATGTTCGGAAGAGAATTCAACTCAGACGTCATCAGAGGTAAAAGTGTATCTACACATAATTTTGATTTTATAAAAGAGGGTATCTTCATCAATTTAGGATGGATATCTACCGCGGAAGATCTCATACTTGATATATATCCTCAAATTTGACTAAAAAGCTTTTGCAAAGCATCCATCGTTGGTTATGTGCTTGTTTGTATCTAGACTACTTTATAGACATATTTCTATAATACCTGCAGTGAAAAGAAAAGAATGAAAAAAGTTCTGGTGGAGCTACATCACTATCCAATAGCGCCTTGTCAGTTGAAAAACAATTACAGACGAAATAGTGATAAAACCTTCAGTACCTGCTGTAAGCTAAACGGAATCGACTCAGACTTGATTTTGGGCTCAGTAAGAGCTGACTGAATTTTTGTGGTTTTGTCTAATTGACAAAAACAAAACTGAGGCCGTATCCATCATTGATACCTTGAGGTAAATCCTACTTCCAGGTAGTTTTATCACTCGTTATCAGCGATAAAATTATATGATAATAAGTGATAAAACTACCTAGAAAGAGGATTCACCTCAGTATATCAATGATGAATACGTCCTCTAGTTATCAAACCTACTATTCTGAGTCTTTTTTGTCTTCGTCCCATCCAGCGTTATTGAACGTCCCAACTATTCTCATATCACTTTCTCACTTTGTTTCTTCGTGTTTCCTGCCATAAATCAAGTGCTAAGTGGAATTGCAACTGAATCAATCTCATCTCGACCAAGAAGCGCGAAATTTGCTCAAAACCTCTTGGCGCAAATTGTTTGTCGATCCTCTTTGCATTAGCAGCTCATGATCCTCGCGGCGGTGGCCATCGTAAGGTCTACTCGAGCGGAAGCCATCAAAAACTTCACGTATCCGGGTTGCGACGGGTGCCGACGTCCATTCGATCAAATACGAAGCATCACGTAGAGCATACTTTTGCCACAGAGCACAAAGGTCAACCCGTTCGGATTTACGCGATTTCGAGCGCAGAGACCAACTGCTTAGTCTTCATTGTTGTCACTTCTTAGATGCTAGTTGCCCTTCCAAAATTTGAGAGAATTTTTTCGAGAGAGCACAAGATTTCGAAATTTGAGGCTAACTTCAATCCTTAAACATGTGATTTGTGATTTTGCACCTTTTTTATCAATATCCTGTAAACCTCCACTTTTCGTTGGTAGTTTGTTGATGTTTAAAGGTCATAAGGACTAACTTCCACTGGCGAAGATTTATGTTACCATAAAAGCGACGGTCACTTTCACTTTAGGTGGTCTTAAATCGAACTATTTTCGGCCATTCAGAGCACATGCACGGTGTCTAGACATTTTTTGTGGAGTCTCTAGATCATGGTGTTTTCTGTTTCTTACTATATTTCAAAAGGGAAAATTTGTTTTTTTTTTCCTTTGCCAAAGTCTGACCTCTGCAGCTCAAAACATGTGGAAGAACTCCTGAGCTAGATCATGCTATTTTTTGATCCGAAGTTCTGATAAGTCCCATTTTCAAAAGTCATGGCTGATGTTTACAAAGATAGCGACTGGTCAATAGCCTACTCAACCTGATCATAACTGGTTTCTCTGCAAAGTTTTTGCTTTGATATGCTATCATAACAATAGCTGAAATATGCTTTAGACCTGTACATCTTTTTTATAAACTTTTGTATGCATGTCCCTACTTTTGCTCATCGTTGCAATTATACATCAACAGATGAGCATAGACAAATTATCTCATAAGCAAAAGCTTTTCTTCCATAGAAAAGTAAACACGATGCCAACCATCTCTAATTGCATTGTCCTAGTAGAGTGGGGTAAGATTGCCCTAGTAGTGGGGTAAGATAGTCCTCTCACAATTTTCCTTACTTTGAACAGAACTACACATACAACCTTTTTGGCGTAGCTAATAAGCGCCGTAGGCCCCGTTACAATATGTTGATTGAAAAGAAAAAATTGGAACTTTTCTTTTTGGCATGCAACTTGTTGTTTATAGCCACGCCCTTCACTTCTTATCACAGCTTGTTCCTCTAAACAAACTAGTTATTAGGTCAGAAAAAAAGAATGTCGTTTTTTCGGGATTTTTCAGCTAAATCTAAATCTTAGGAACATAAGCATCTACAAGGCCGAAATTCTATGACCAAAGCTTCTAAGGTTTGTGGTATACAACATATACGGAAGGAGCTCAGGACTACTGGGTGCAGAGTTTGCCATTTTTTTGTTTCCATTTTTCTTTCTAAACACGAAAAAATTATACCAAGAATACATATGGATGAGTGTATGTGTCTGTTACTGCTGGAACAATTGGGAGGTTTCTAGGAATTCTTTGAGGAAATTCGGTTTTTGGCATTATAAGTTGCTCTTATGTTTTGGCTTGCAACTTTGCGTAAATCACGACTCACACCAACGTTCGAAGGCTGACTAGTAGAGCTCGCTCTGTTCTACCGAACAGTACCCCCCTCATTTTTTTGTAATCGTCTTGCTGCCTTGTTATGAAAAACGACATTCTCTCTTTCCAAGCTAATTGGGGGATAAGGCCTTAAGTTTTGCAAATGTTCAAGAGCAGTTCCAAAAACCAAGGTTTTCTTTGCTTTTTGTAGGTCTCCTTTTGCTGGAAAGTATTTTTTAAAATGCATCTGTAGAAAATGAAGATTCAGTGCGGGACTTATGTGGTCCTAGATCAATAAATTAGCCTTTCTGTATCGCTTTCGTATTTGTAACAACACTTTGCAACATCTCCTCTTACATTCTTGAGTCAATTACCTATCAATTTGTGTTCGATTACGCTCGTAAACTGTTGAGAGCACATCTGTTTTTTGTTTCCAACTTCTACACAGCTGCTATGAGTCGACGAAGGTCCAAGGCAAAGAGGTCAATTATTTGACAGAGATCCAGCCATGTTCATTGTACCGTTTGTTGATGATAAGCATCGATAACGTGGAAAATAAGACATAGTGGCTAGTCGAAATTGCTATATATTTCCTTGCGAAGCAGTTTGGAACGCGGAAATTTGGAAAAATTACTGTATATTTTTGGGAAATAAGTGTGTATAAGTTGTGCTTGAAATTACATTCACTGCTAAGATATTCATCTCGGAAAGTCAAAAATCAATTGTTGAAATTGTGGTCAATAAGTCCATTTTGCAGAAAAAAAAGCTTCGAACTCTACGAGAAGTGATTTTTATCATAAAAGCCTTCATTTTCTATTTTGCTTTTTTCACCAATCTCAAGTCTGAGCGTAAGTCGCTTTAAGCCTTATAAGAGCGCTGACTCGGTGTGAATTTCTCGTTGCTAAGGTGGCAGAGTTTTTGCCCCATGTCAGTGGGTGGGCTTGGAATTGGTATCCGTACTTTATTACTTCCCTCCCATATTCACTTCTAATCCTCTCTGAGCCGGGAAGCCTCCTATTAATCTCGACTACCTTTTCCTTCTCGTCTTGTTTCGAAGAAATGCCCGCAACCTTAGGCATGGATGATACCCACAAATTGGGTTTCCTAGGAGCGACATCCTATGTGATCGGTAATATCATTGGATCGGGCATATTCATCACTCCAGCCTCTATACTCAGGTTAGATTATAAATTCGTGCTAACAATTTACATATAAACAATCAAAAAATTCACATTCAAAGCTCCATCGGACCAGAAATTTCTTTCTTTATTGTTCCCCGAATCAACATTAGTTGAATTGTCAAATAATGCTGACAACTAACCAACTATTTGAGGCCCATCATCACTGATTCACTTTCAAAAATAATATTTGGTAATAACTGTCTATGTCAAATTGAGTTACCAGTGCCCCTTCTCCCCCGAAATTTGAAGGCTAGAAAGTTATCTATACAAGTTATGAATTTTTGCAAATGATTTGTTAATCGTAAATAATCAGAATGACTCTTTAAAACTTAAGATCGAATTAGCCGCACAGAAAATTTAACACCTATGTCGAGCAAGGCTGCACGAGATGGCTTTTATAAAATGCAAAAAAAAAACGAAGCCCCCTTGATCTTGGCGAATTTTACGAAGTCTCCTTTGACCCTAAAACTTAAACGCAAAGAAGCCTCAAAAAACGAAACGTCGACTAAAAAACTTTACAACTTTCGTGTCTTTTCCGCCTCAAAAACGATACCCGCTTTGCTTTTTGTCGTAAAAACGCAAAATCCCAGCTTGCTTACAAGCCATCTGTGCCGAGCACTGATGTCGAGGCTCATCGTCAAAAATCCAAAGAGCATGCCAAAAAATCTTTTGAAAGACGTGGCTAGCTGCAGCGCACAACCTTTCACTTGAAAAAGTTTCTCTACCCCCCCCCCTCTTCCCCCCTCCCTCCCCTCCTCCCCGTTAGAAGAACTTGGGATCCTCACTAGAAATGTCCGCCGCTAGCTGTTTTTTTTCTAAAGAAAATAGATTGTATTTTTGAACTAACTCAAGGTTTACAGATGCACCGACAGTGTTGGCCTATCGTTGATCGTATGGGTTGCATGTGCGGTGATAGCTATTTTAGGTATTAGACTCAACATCTTTTTTTCCCTTTTAAAATACATTTTCAGGTGCGCTGGTATATATCGAGCTGGGCACATCCATACGCGAAGCGGGTTGTGACTTCGCTTACATCTGCTATGTGAAATGGTAATTTATCTGCATACAGAACTTATGTTCTTTTAAATGATCATTCTTTACTCAATCAAAAAATGATTAACACTTTTTCTTCAATCACGAAAATGACTCCCTCCCTACCACGGCTCGGGATAGGTAATTCATAAGCAAGCTGGTTATCATTTTTGGGACAAAAGGCAAAGGTTATGTCGTTTTTGTAGCCAAAAAACACAAGTTTGGTTACGTTTTTTTTGTGACGTTTCGTTTTTTGGTTTCTTACTTTCATGGTTGGAGTAGAAGGGGGAACTTCGTAAAATTTTCGGGAAAGTCAATAGGGACTTCGTTTTTTACATTTTCGGAAAGCCATCTTGCCGAGCCCTGCTCCTTACACTCAATTAGTTTATCAGTTAGTTTTTGTGGTAGCTGGTGGTAAAGGTTGATATCCTTGACAGCTGTGATCAACGCTATTTCTTTTCCTTTGCACGGAACCCTTTCCATTCTTGGCAAAGCAAAAGCTTAAGAATGAACTAATTTTGATTTTGAGAAATTTACAACTCTCTGATTATAAGAGTTTACGATATTCATGCAATTTGCGAAAGCTGCTCCTCCTGCCTTCTCGATCATTCATTTTGTTTTTTTTTCTTGACATTCCACACGCACAGGCTCGTCTATTTGATGATCAAAGACGCAAACTTTTCCCAAAAAAGTACAGCTTTGATGTCTTCTATTTGGTCTCATAACACGCGCGTATCTAACTCAGCTAGCTCATATCCGCAAAGATATGCTAAGGCTCTTATTTGGAAGTCTAAGTCTTTTCAGTGGTTCTTATTTGCTTTAACTCTCGCTCCATCAAAGCTATTTTGTCTGCAAATTACTGAATACTTCGTCGCTAATTTTAGGAAAGAAAGCAATGCTGATTATTGGAATGAACTCAAAATGATTTATTCACGTTGAAAAGAAATTCTTGAGGCTCTCAAGCAAAAGCATAGACGAGTATCTCAGAAAGTTGCTCATTTTCACTTTGCTAACCATGAAATTTCACAAGTTTTTAAAGTATGACTACGCAAAATGCAGAGGGCAACCTATTTTTTGAACTGAAATGGCACATTTGAGAGCTAGTTTAACAACAAACACATCAATTCGTTTGTAGTACGGATACGAAATTGTAAAAATGGGGAACACGGGCTTCCCTTCTGAAAATAGCATGAGAAACTGAAAGTTGGTAGGGGGCATACAAAGATTCTGGCAGAAAAGACAAATTTATGAAAAATTAACACTTGCTGAGATTTATTTATGCAGTATCTTCTGGCATCACTGCAGCAACGTTTCATTTCGAGAAACTGAGCAAGAGTCCCTAGCTGAAGTTTGAATTTTTTTCAAGGTACTCGATTGCATTCGCGTTCATGTTCGTTTCTGTGCTGATGACATATCCGGCTACAATAGCGATTATTGCTGAAACTTTTGGTCAGTATCTAATTGAAGGCTTAAAACAGGTATGGTACATAATTGGTACATATTGATTTGTGAATTCACTCGTAAAATTCAAATCCTCAATTTTAAGGTGTACGAGATCGACGACGAATGGGTTCCTATGACGCAAAAGCTCTTCGGATTCAGTTTACTGCGTAAGAATCTCAGATTTTTGTACTTACGCATTTTTAATCATAATTTGCAGTGCTCGTCACATGGATGAACTTCTTCAGTCTGAGTAAATTTGCCTCCAGGTTCCAAATAGTTGCCACTACTGCAAAACTGTTGTCCTGCTTTCTTATCATTGCCACCGGATTCTATTACTACTATGTAAAAGGTAACATCACTTTTCTTGTATTTTTCCACATCTTACAGAAATACCTTTTGAACCTTTTTTAAGAAGATAGACCTCTAAAAAATTATTTCGATGCTTTAGATTTTTACATAATGATTATATCAAATCAAAAGATGTAACTTTAGGATGGAAGTACAACTTACGCGACCCAATGAAAGGCTCCAACTACAAAGCCGGTGATATGATACTGGGATTCTACGGAGGTTTATGGGCATATTCCGGCTGGGATGTACTTAACTACAGTACTGGTGAAATAAGAAATCCAAGGAGGTACTCTTATGTGATTTTTTCCCCTATTCTTTGAATCTGACTAAAAAAAGCAGCTGTGAATTTCCGAAAGCTGTAAATAAGTTTCTCCCGTGAGGCACTCACAGACACAAACTGCACCACTTGTGTACTTCCCTTATCACTCTGGAAGAGGGTAGTGTAACTTTTTTCTTTTCCAGTCAGGACCTCGATGCAGCGCTACAGCACTATTCAAAAGATAATTGTATTTTCGACTTACAGCTTGACCTAGACAGTGTCGATGCTATGATTAAATTACCATTAATGTGACGAAAAATAAAGAATATGTGCTCATATCTTACATTCCAGAAATGTTCCGCTGGCCCTACTCTCCGGAATCGCTACAGTAACAGCCGTCTACGTTTGCATCAACGTTGCTTATTTTGTGGTGCTCGATGTGGAGACCGTAAAGTCCTCCAATGCTGTGGCAGCAGTAAGTTATTATCAGTTTTGCTCATACTATCGAAGTAAACTAGCATCCAGAGTTGTCCATTGTGCCGGCGCTATAATAGTGCAGCTTAGGCGCCGTGCCAGCTCCGTGCCAGCGCTATGCTGGAACTATTGTTGGTTGGAATTCGGGTTGATCGACTGAAGCTTTGGCAGGCTGGCGCTACGCTGGCACGACGCTGGCACGACGTTGGCACTTAAACTCCTGTCACAGTCTAAAAGCGAAGTTTTCAGCTATTCAGTCAAGCAGCACTGGGATCATTCGCTAATTTGATTCCATTCCTTATCGGTGTGCTCCTTGTCGGCTCGCTAAACAGCAATCTATTCTCAGGGAGCAGGTGACTTATTTTCATTTAACTCCATCACATATATAAAACAAAAAACAAATGGAGACGATCAGCAGAATTTGTAAAGCAGATCATTCCTAGGTATATGTACGCAGCAGCTCGCCAAGGACATCTTCCGACGTGCTTCAGTTGCGTGAACGCTGAAACTGAATCACCTCGAGTGGCCATCCTAGCACAGGTCAGCCTTCCTTCCTGTCAAAAAAGTCCTGTGAAATGAAAAGACTCGGATTTTTTAGTCGATGCTGGCCATTGCCATCTCATTCGTCGGTGATCTGGATGCTCTCATCGGCTATGTTATGTTCGGATTCTGGGCTCAACGTATATTTACCCTGGTGGCACTTCTGATAATTCGACACAATCGGATTCCCGTTCATAAGGAAGCAGTCCGAGTGCCGCTGTGGTGGTAGGTCGAATCAAATCTTCCATAAATTTTGTGATAAATTTTTCATAGCCAACTTTATCAAGTAGGAAAGTGCTACTATGATTTCCTGCTTGAATTTGATTCCATGCTGAGTATTTTACCAAGACAACCAAAAATTCAAGTGAAAATTCTGCCTGTACATTAAAAAGCCTGTTGCTGTAAGGTTGTAAACTAAACAAATTGTATACACTATTGGCTTTCTATTGCAAGGTTTAGTCTAAGAGATCAAAGCCCTTTTAAGTTTTTGCAGCAGCATTTTTATAAGTTTTGACTTTACAACTAAGTGCTACCCTGTACCTTTCACGGCTTAAGTAGCTTTCTTTGCGAACAAATGGTTATGCTCATTCTCCAGCAATTCAGCTACTTATGTGTATCAAAAACAATTTGCAATGAATGAGGTGCATGAAATTTTTTGAAGTTTTCGTAATCCGGATGCAATGCCTGGCACCTTTTGGTACCATGTCTACAATTATGTTAATATTACAAATTATAAAAAATGCAGAACCGTTGCTAGTGTGAAAAAAATTACTATAGCATTCGTAAAACATCAGCTAATCTGTAGTGCTGATGCTGATTCCTCACGAAGAAATGAGTTTTGACTTATCAGCAGATAAGTCATCATGGGAATGTATTGTAGAAACCTGTTGACAAAATGATACCAAAACAAATAAGTTTGTAAGTTCTCAGACAATTCGCAAAAGACTTCCGGGAGAACTGAACTTCTACACTCAGACAGCGGATAGGACCCCTCCGCCGGAGAAATGGCACCGCGGGGTTTCCCCAGCGGTGGGTCTGCCACTCGTCCGCCAGAGCCCTCCCATTTGTGCTCCGGGGCCCTCCCATTTCTGCTCCGGAGCCCTCCCATTTTTTGCTCCGGAAACCTCCCATTTTCTGCTCCGGAGACCTCCCATTTTCTGCTCCGGTGACCTCCCAGTTGTGCTCCGGACCCCTCCGATCTTCTGCGGCGCGGCTCTTCCAAATCTAGCGTACCTCCGGAGCAGAAATGGCGTACCTTTGCAGCAGGGCCGGAGAAGCGTCCCATTTGCCTGCCAGTGATGTCACCGCGACCTACAAGAAGGGACCGCCCATTTGCCCCGCTCTCATTGGTCAACTGGGTCCGGCGCGACTCTGGCAGATTCCGACTGTCCGGCGGAGGGGTCCGGTCGATTGTCTGAGAAAATTTCCAGGGGGGGGGGGGGGGACACCCCTATTGGAGGGGGGGGGGGCATTACTTGTGGGTGTCAATTAGAAAATGCCGCGACGTGGCGTTACAGTAACTTGAGCAATAGGCAGCAGGGCCAGAGGGAAGTCCCAAAGGAAATGCTTAAAAGTCAGGTTATTATAGTGAACAAAAAATTCATATTTCCTGATCAGAAACATGGTAATTTCCATGTTTCCTTCCACTGTCTTACCTTTTCCTACAAGTTTTGTGCCCAAACATTCATCAAACAATAAAAACTGGTGTAGTATTGTAAAAACATTTAGAAGAAAGGAACATGGCTTTGCGAGTCGGCTAACCGAGTCTGCGCATCTGAGCCTGTCGTGCGCGGCGACTGCGCGATTGATAGTCACAAGTAATGGGATACACCCCTATTGGAGCTGCCAGGTAGGGCGCGGAGAGCGGAGCCCACCCACAAGGCCCAATAGGAACGTCCCGGATGTTCTAAAAGTTCAATTTTCCCCGATTTTGCGGATTGTCTGAGTTCAATAATTTATGAAACTTAATAGAAAAAATGATAAGCTTCTGCTCAGAAAATCCTAATTATCAAAAATTAATTTCGTCAAACGAATCCTTTTGTATTTATGTTCTAAAGCACAGTAATTTATTTCCATAGTCTTTTCGTGCAATTGCACCACCTTCCCGACTGCAGTAGGCAAGTCGATGTTGCCAGAGTTACTAACTTGACTATGAAAACGTTTGTGAAATTACAAAAAAGCAACTTGAAGATTGCTGCGCAAATTTGTGAAATAGTGCGATCAAGAATTAGTGAATTAATTAATGAATCAAGAATCAAGAATTAGTGCACTTACACAAGGCGAATATGGAAACGACAAATACTTACCTGCTTTTAGTATCTACGCCTTCCTGGCGCTCACCATCGCCCTTGTGGTCATTCCGATCTTCCAAGAATTCTCCGTCACTGCCTTGGCAATAGCAATCATTGCCGTTGGTTTTGTGATGTACTTTATCTTTGTACATCCAAATACACTGCCCAAATGGATGTACCAAGTCAATGGTAAGTCTCTCAATCTTTAAAGGATTTTTAAAACTCAACTCTCAGCTTTCAGAGAGCACTACATTTGCGTGCAGTGTGATTTTCGATTGTCTACCGGATCTGAAACCAGGAGTTGGGGTGCCGTTCTTACCGAGTTCAGACTCATCGCAGGCATTGTTACCGAAGAAGTAAGTGAGCCTGATGTTGCAAATTGCAGTTCGAAATTGTGAGCGGATGCAAAATATTATAAAATCGCAAGAATTCCTTTTTGCGAAAAAACGCGATCAAAAGAGGCGATTACCTTTGTATCCTGGCTTGAAATGTAGACCACAAAAAATAAACAAATGATGCTGGTACTACTTGATTTAAATATCGATCAACTCTTCAAAACAGCTAAACTCGAAATTCTCATTAAAAAAACCGTGGAATTGTGTAAGACTTGATGAACCGAGATTTTCCTCACAACCTGCCTGAGAACTTCCATTCTACTACCCTAATTTCCGGGGTATAAGGCGCACCTTGTATAAGGCGCACCCACCGCAGCGAACAATGGCGCGAAAACGCTTTCTAAATGATTGCTTTCTTAATCTAGAAAGCTGAAGACTCAGTGTGCTGTGATTATTCTTCACTTCTTATAAATCATGCCCAGGTACTTTTTACTCTTCTTAGAACGTATACTTTCAAATCGTTTCTACTGATAAGAGGAAGCTATTTTCAGTGGTGTTTATGATGTTTAGATGATTCTTTCTTTTGTTTCCAGTGATATTGCCTGTGCTGCATTTTGTGCTTTCCTTCGTTTCCAATAACGCTACTGGTAGTGAAACGGTCCTTTCTTTACAATGATACTACTGATATTTTAAAGGGGCTGTTTCTGTCCTATTCTTGTCATTCTTGATAAAAGAAAAGGTAGAGATTTGCTGTATACAGCTTGTGCGGCGTCGCGCATCGCAAACGTCATCGCACATCAGACCGCGAGCGATGAAAGCTACTGCGCCTTATACCCCGGAAATTAGGGTATTATTAGAATCTCACAATTTACTTTTGTTCACTACAAAAAGAGGTTGCAGAGATTTTTTGAAAAGTGGAGATAGGGAACTCAAAAAGAAGTTTTAGGCTTGTTTGCCAGCGTATAACCCAAAGATTTTAACAGATTTGCTTCGCTTTCCGAAGAAAATTGTTTGTAAAAATCTGGTGTAATTTTCAGAAAATGTATGAAGAACTATTTATTTGTCTACAATCAAAACGCAAGTGGCTTGCATATTCATACAGCCCATGGCAAATGTGGGCCACCTTCAAAAACCGCTGCCCACTCACGGGTGAAGCGAGCGGGGGGGGGGGGGCAGGGGAGGGGGGGGGGGGGTATAAGCGCGCTGTTCTTCTGCTTCGCTGATTGAGGCGAAGCAGAAGAACAGCGAGCAGAACAGGAGAATTGAATGTTTTTATGCAAAAAATGTCTTTTTGCCTCTAATATCAATCTTTTCACGAAATTGTGGACAAGGAGAATCCAAATCTTGATGAGTCTAATTTTCAGATTATCCATTCCTCGACTATGTGACGAATCTGTGCTAGATCTTCACTCGGATGAGAAGAATGTGCTACATCGCAATGTTAGCTCCGCAGCATTCAAACTTTTGTGAGTCCATCTATAGTTCAATAGATCGACCGCCAACGTAGTGCTCTTGCGTCGCCGACAAAACCTGCGCGTAACAGGATAAAGAGCGTTTTTTTCAATTCTTACCCCTATTTTTTACACTCAATTGTTGTAAGAGAAGGACGCAAGAGCATTGATCATTCTGTATATAAGTCCAACCCTTTTTAAGTCGCGCAGTACCAATTTTCCAGTGTACCCTCGTCTCTCGTTGATCTGATCACGGACGTGCAATGAAACTCGTCTGACTTGCACCGTGCTGCCGTACCTCCTCCCGCTCTGACGTTATACTGCAGTAGCTCGGGATGCTGTGGCTCTGTCGTCGCGGGAACATCTCAATGTTTCACGCTGGTGTTCTGTACTTAATCTAGAGCATTACAAAGCTATGCTTATACGATTCGATTTCCTGTGGGTGCTAGCGTCCAGATTTTTAAGTAGGGATAAAGTTCTATGTAACGCTTGTAATGTTTATAGCATGATATGACTATAGGTCAGTCACTCCACCTTACTATTTGCAAAAAAATGAGAAACGGCAAAAGCCGCAATCTTCGGCTGTCACCAAATGAAAGCCATCGAGATATATGAGACTCCAAGAAATGGCAAACAAAGTGTTTTGGATTATTAACTGGTTAAACTTACCATTTTGAGTATGAAGGTCTTTTTTTTGAAGAATTTCTACTAGATTGGTGTTAGTTATTTTTTTTAGGCTCTCTGATTTTATAATGTTTCAAAGTCAATTTGAGCAAATGTATCGTACAACTCTCTTCTGAAACTAACAAAACTCTAGAAAGCAGAAGTCGTCTGACACCGTGGCTCCCATATTCAATTATATAAGCACTTAAATTACGGTGCATTAGTACCTTCCTAAAAATGAGTTATTGATGATGCGTGAAAAAAGGGAGAACGCGGATGAGCGGAAGTATTTCGTACTGATTCAAACCAGTGTGGTGTCAGTTTGGGAGCTTTGATTATATTGTTTGACTGCTCATTTACCAAGTGAGCATAAACACGGAGGTAGCAGAAGACTTTGTAAAAGGAACTCGAACATACCGAGTTCAAATGAGCAACACCTTATACACGACCTTTCCAAAAACCATATACTCAAGCCTATCTGTTGTAGTTCAATTCTGTCGTTATGGGATGAGTTTCAACCAGTAAATGATTTGATTTCCTACGCTGGCATATGTGAAACTAGCTTTTATAATTCATAATTCGCCTTCATTTCCACTTTGTGAACAGTGCTTTTGCGGCCAGCATAGCCAGCCGCTATTTGCTTTCTTCTCGCATACCCCATGAGCTTTTCCGCTGGCAAAGTGCCTATAGTGAACTTCAAAGACTAGCAACAACTAGTAGACACCACCGCTCGCGTGAAAAGCCTCTGGCGAAGTTTTACGACGAGTCGCGTGTTGCGCACTGTAAATCGCTCATAAACAGAGCGGTGCCCTTGTCGACCAGCCACTAAAATATCGCTCTAACTTCTGTTGCAGCATTGCCGACTGATTGCCATAGGACCATCACGACTGTTGATATATATTTTTCCATAAAACAAACAAAATCGCGGTGATTTTGAGTTTCAGTGCACTCGAAATGACTTGTGCACGATCAAGGTCAGTTTCCGATTTTTTTTGGTAAAATAAAAATGATAAATTTTGTGTCAACAATCAAAAAACCATGTCATTTTTATCCATCCTTTTTGTTCAAACTTTTACTAACCTTTTCAAAAGACTAGGAAGTATTTAGAACAATTTTTTATAAAGTGTCTTCATACAGCTATCCTTCCCAAAAATTTTGAAAAACTCGGTTTAATTTTCATCTCAATTTTGCATTCTTTAGTCATATAATCAGATGGTTGGCTTCTAGATTTCATATGGGTTCAACCATAACTAAATTTGAGATCTTCAAAATGCTTGTACTTTTGGCTTCCCAGACCTTTAAGTACGTACTCTGAACATTTTTCCCCCAAAAAATCAACTGTTATCAAAAATGGAAAGCAATTAGTTGAAGTCGGCCAACATACAGAACGCTATTTTGCTTCAGCGGCTTACAATTTGATTTTTTTGAAGGACTCAAGTTTGAGGCAGAATTTGGGCTCGAAACCTTGTGTTGCGAGTTTTTACGACACTCTGAATTTGCAAACAAAAATGAGCATAGCTCCCAAGAAAAGGAAAAGAATCTATGTGAAATGGTGACATTTAGATACCCCGACCTATTTGACTTGGACTACTGGGAAAAAATGAAGATTCATATAAGGTTTCAAATTTGTCTTTATATAATAAGATATTTGAGTGCAACTTCGCGATTTTCATGATCATCGAATGGTTAGCCAATGTCTGCGGACTTTTGAAATAAAGTTCAAAGGTTTTTCGATCATTTTCAAGGTTCAGTGTAGGGAATGCAAGAGGACAATTTAGATTACCTCGTGAACGATTCTTGATAAAATGAAAATTGTATTTACAAGCATGGCATGGCTGTATGCGCACTTTTTCATCCGGTTTTATCCCGTCCTTTAAATATGGATTGATTTTTATTTGGCAAAGAATAACGAATGAGGTGAGTACTGACTAACTGATATAAGCAAGAAAGCGCCTAAAGATATTAATTAGGCAAAAGTTTGAAAACTTACAAAAGAGCGAGCAATAAAAGGCACATATGTCACACGCACAGCAAAACGACTGATGTCGTTGTAAAGCTCGATAAGATACATACGGTATAGATACATGCAAAAATATGTTATAACTATATGTGAGATAAATATCTATTTGGAAAATGCGTCGTCGCTTAGGTCAAGAACGTAGACAGGCAAAGTTAGAGAGCCTGCCTCGGTATTAGGCATGTAGGAAAGAAGAAAGGCAAGACTTGTTTTGGGTACGCTGCGTTCAAAGTTGCGTTGTGTTGACGTGGTGCCGTTGCGGTGCCAATGCTGTGCTAGCTGGCACAGCGCTGGAACGACGCTGGCACGACAACTTTGGACGCAGCCTGAGCGTTCAGATGCTGCAGGCAGCGAAAGCAGCTCAAATAGAGAAAATATCACCGGCATTCTGATGGAAGTATAGAGCAGCCATCAAACTAGAGACGACACACTGATTGGAGAGTAGAGCGACTTCTCGGATGACGGTGCCGACGAGGTAGCGCGATAGCAGGCCGATTCCTCGTGCTTGCTTAGGTATGACTTCAGAGCGAATCGTTTACCACAACGAGCGCAATGATGAGGTTTTTCGCCTAAATTATCGAAATTTCAGTAGATCTATTGCTGAAAAAATTTCTCACAACTAGTGCAGACACATATGCTTAGCAGAAGAATTATTCTCGTAGATGTGAACTTGCACTGCCATTTTACCGCGTAAATTGAATTATGTATCACTTGCAGTGTCCTTATGCTAATCTCATACAGGACCTAATATTTATGAAAAAAATGCTTTTTCAAAGATTTTGGAAGGCTGCCCGCAATCGTCAACTCAAATGACATGTTGTTCCCTTTAAACTGTTTCTGCGCCTACTTCTGTGCTAGTTCTTGTTATCCTCAAGGAGTTTCTTGTGCATAAATGAATAAATAAATAAATAAATAAATAAATATCATTAACATAGGTTATCCTATGTAATAAATAATAATAATAATATTAAATCAAATCGAGCTTGCAAGTAACTGGATAACTGGACACATCCAAAACTCTGGAGTGACCAGCACGAAATTGACAGAACTTCTTTTTTTTGCAAGCAGAGGAGGGTATTGTATGGTATTAGAGGATGAAAGTTACCGACCGAGAAAGCAAGCTATAATCGAACTAAATGAAACAAAAATTGAATAATTGTTTTCAACTCTACCATTACGTTGCTTCGCTTAGAGCCATTTTAGCCCAATGTGGTTCTGACGTTCAACATTGAGGAATTTTTATAGGTCACAAAATATTTGCTATCCCAGGTTTCTATTGCCATTTTTTTTGCTGGTTACTGGGCCAAAGGATGATTTGCAGTGAATATAAGCATTTTACGATGACTCATTCAGTGTGATTCTTAACTCCCTTAATTTTTATAGCTGTCTTTCTGATTGGCACATCTCAAAAAAATGGTGCTCAACAACGTCATGGCATAACTAAGAAAATATTCGCAACTCACTGCTATGGGTCTGTATATGAGCTCGAAGATTGCTCTTGTCCGCAAACGCTTTGCCACAAATATTGCACGTGAATGGTTTTTCCCCAGCTGAAAATAAGCAGAATTCAATGAAATATGTACCACCTAGAAGACAAACAAAACGAATCTGTCTCAAGTACGTACTGTGAGTGCGCAGATGTCCTTGTAGAAGCCAATGACGTCCAAAGGTTTTACCGCAAATCTCACATTGACAATCGCGGTCTTTCTTGGTCTTCGCAGTGGGTGGTGATGGAGTGGTTGGAGAGCCTGACAATGCTCACTGTCAGTATAGAACATCAATGATGAATTAATTCATCTGGAAATTGTGAAATTCGAGAACTCACTGCTTTCACTTCCTGTTGTGACGCTGGAGGATGGAGACGATGAGTTCAAAGGGATGACTTGAGACGGTGTGAACGACGACGCAAATAATGGAGCAGGAGGATACGGTATCATGATGGATGTGCATGAAACAGCGTACTTCTTCTAAAAATTCACAATTGAAGCTTTCAGAATTTTTAATGAAGAGGTCAACACATAACAGAAGAATTCATTGTTTTGAAGCATTGAACAGTGATTTGTGGAGATTTTTATTGTTCCCATTTTTCGGACAAAGAGTGGTACGGTATGTCTTCTTGTTCTGGGCTCCGCGTACGATTGATTCTTCCTAGATTTGCACTGAATTTTGCTCAGAATTAAGTCCTTTGTAATTCGAAAAACGTATCGTAATTGATGATTTCAACAATTTCGCAGCCTTTGACAGTTCCTACAACGTGGTTGAGAATTTGCAAATTTTATTGTAAAGGAGACCTTATCTCTGTACGAGTTTTCTCGGTTTCGATAACACAGGATTTTAAGAAACTTCACAAGTGAACACCACTTGATATCAAGAAACTAATATGCATTGTTACCCACCTGTAGTTTTGCGATCAACGCTGTTGAATATGGTAGAAGTAGTGGATTCCAAAGCAAAGGAAATGGAGGAATACGGCAAGCACTTGGCTCCATTTTGATCTACAATCGGGTTAATAATATAATAGCAAAATTAAGACAAAGAGAAAAGAATTATACAGAAAATGACTAAAACGTGAATTTTCCATGAATCTCAAGAATGCTAACAAAACAGAAAAAGATTGCAACATTACTATAAACAAGACAAGATGACATTCTGAGAGTTTTGAGATAAAAATGGATTATTCAAGCTTACAAAAATATGAATATGCGTTTGTTGGACTGAGCTTGAAATTTTGAGAATTCCAGAATTATAGCTCTATGTAAGCGAATTACAACGGCCTTGAAATTTGTGACAAAGCAATAATGGCTTATTTGAGCACAAATACATTCACACATTGAAATTCTCTCTTAAAACAAGCAGTATACAGTTTACACTATTACAAAAGCAACAGAGATGAAATCATACAACATTGGGAGAATTAGTGGTTCCAGATGCTGACACCTGCACGGGTTAAAAATCGATCCACTGAGTACGAGTAGACCATCAAATCAAACATCTTGACCTTTCCCCCTTGATCAGGAAATTTTCAACGATTTACAGCATTATTTGTGAGCAGATTTGAACTTATACGCAGATTTTTGAGACCCTCAAAAGAGAATTGGCGAAATTTCAAGAAAATAATCAGGTCAGGGATTGTTGCACAAATCAACAGAATTGAGCGTAATTATTACCTCCCCCCCCCCCCTCCCACCAGAACCCAAGGCGAGCGACGCGTGTTGAGCACTGAGTGAACTGTATTGAGTCTTGAGCCCTGACCGAGAATTTACAACCCACCGCTACAGTAATCGGGTCGCATCCGCGGGGGCGTGGCGCGAGCGCGATGACAAATCCTCGGCACATTAGCAGCCGCATTCAGTGCTAACGACACACAATTGTGGGGCGACATCCACACATGTGCCGTGTGTCGTTAGTGGTGCAAAACAAGTCGAGATCAGCCGCGGGCGATGTGTAACTGACAGATGTGTGCGTCCGAGTTACGGTAGTCCGATTAGGTGCTGTACCACATTGTGACAGATTGCCAAGGTGCAAATGGGCCGAGTTAATGAGTTTGGCGGGATGAATGTATTCTAGGAACTGTGTCGCTTTTTTGTGTATCGTCTTTATGCACTTACTCCGCATGCATCGGAAATACGGTATAGAACGCTCTTACGCAAATACCGCAAGATAGCCTTGGAATGTGGAAGGAATATTTACGAAGAAGTTGGATTTACACCTATCTTCAAGAGTGTCTTTGCTATGGAGTTGGGTAGAATAGTAAAAACATCTTTGAGGACTATGAACCTAGAAAGTTCTTACTTCGAAACAACGGAGCTGAATGCTACGGACTAAGCAGCACGTAAAACCATTTTTCTATTCTTCATTTTTTGTTTGAAAGATGATTTTTTGATTGTCGTACGCAGAGAATCGAGCATATAAAAGGTGGGCGAGAATTTCATTTTGTTTCATTTGATTTGAGGTTTAACTTATCCCCTTACATCATCAACATAACGTGCGTGCATCCGCCGCCATTGAAATTATGTGTGCTTATAATAAGTACAAACAAAAACCAAGCTTTCTTGTGGGTGAGAATGTCCTCTTTAATTTCTGCTTGTCATGAGATGTTCTTAGGTGGCGGACTAATTTAGCGAATTTTCTAAGAATTATTGAATAACATGGTTTCGCTTTTACAATATTACTACGTTCTGCATTTAGAGTACGCCTCACTAAAATGGAATCCGATTCAATTGAAAAATTACTGCATACTTGAAAGAGAGAAGGCGTGTGAAGTTAAGCGAGAGTGCTCAAAATTTTACAAAGCACACTGTAATTCCAAGACCTTCTAAAATCGCTATGCAATCTTTTTCGGTGTCTAGTACATATTCTTGATCTATGTATTATATATTCGCAATACCGGTCCAGAATAGCAAACTTTAGGATTCACTACGATTAAAAAGTAAAAGGGGCACTTACTTACTGTTAATTATTCCCATCTTCGATGTTGAAACTACAAACTTTTCAAGCACAAAAACGAATTACGAAATCTAAAAAATTGTTGATAATACCTGTCCCATCCATATTTAACTGCCTTGACGACAAAAAAGGTAAGCACGCACCGAACGTAACGTCCATTACTCCCAAGTATATGAGATTTCTTCCAGCAAGACTCAGTGAAAACAACAAATTTCTGTAGATTCCGTAAAAATTTGCAACCCGGCCCTAATTAGCGTAAAGAGTGCGAGAATTTGCGAAACAACAGAGTGAGTGTTGAGTGATTGATGGATGGCTGTTCACTTTATGCGATCGCCGCGTGCGTGTAAGGGAGGTCGGAGCACGTGTGAGCAGCTCGCTTTATAGCCGGATTCCAGCTCGGAAATGGGGCGCCACCGCCGTCGAAAACCCGCTGCAAAACCTCGAACGAGTGCAGCAAGTGGGCCAGAGGAAAGCGGTGTTAATAAGCGGAGCTATGTTTACTGGGTCTCTAAGAAATTCGAGAAAAGTGGGAGATAGTCAAGAGGACAGTTTCTTAGTCGAGAGGACAGTTTCTTCGGCTGCCGCCCATACAAATTCCACCTTCGTGCTAGCCGATCCTTAAAAGGCATCAGACCAAATAGCGTCGAATTACAAGCTGTTGCAAGTCACATCTCGCTGTTTTGACTGCTTCCGCTGTAAAATTGACCAAACTATTCACAAATTCGTGATCATTTGCATTTTTACGGTGATCTCCAACATTTTCGCTTCTAATTGATGCAGAAGTGGTAAGAATGAACAACCAATGCAACTGTCTATCATCTTTCATTCGAAATCCTAATTACTTATATAGCGTTATAGAACACTAAAAATGTGCCATTTGATGCCCATCTGGGGTAAAAATCGCTCCTCTTGACATAACCCAGGGGAAGTTATTCCAAAAATCTTCAATGAGGAATCTGAAGCGGGTAGTGGAAAAGAAAGCAAAGTGAATAATTTCCGCACAAGAAGAAATCACGCTAACAATACGATTATATTACAAAATGTGATATAACAACGTGTGAAGTCAGGGGTACTGTAATGCACCGTATCAATATAAGCCAATCAATTTTGGAGTCTTCTCCCCACGGACTATATAATTTGTTTGAATTCAGGGTTTAGAGTAGAGTACTATTGAATGTAGATGAGTTGTTTTCACCTTTAGGCATTGAAATATCCGTTAAAGTGTTGAAGAAAAAATAGTTTTGAGGACGTAGCTTACAGCTTCAAGGCATAATGAAAGCTACTATCCAGTAAAATAGCAGAAAATGCTATAATCAGAACTTCAAAAAAAAATCCAGCTCTCTGAGATTATAGTCTTTAAAAGATGCAATAACAAAAGATAATTTCCTGCAAGAAAATTTCAATATTTTCAGTGGCAGATGATCACTTTGCCAGATTTATAGTAACATTAGTAGAAGCTGGTCACCTATTCCGCTCAAAAATTTGATTCCTTTGTAACTCTGGAATAAATACATTCGAAACTTCCAATAGTGGTATTATTAAGTAAGAATACAAAAAGAAAAGTATACCTATAAAGTTGTTTTGACATTTCCACGAAATCAGGGATATATTGCACTTAATGAGACGCACAAGCACATTGAATGTTTCAAAACGACTGACTTTCCGAAAAAAAAAACGTCTGAGTGTGCAAAGCGACCGGAGTTTGTGCTGGGGTTAGACAAATCATTTGAGAGCGAACAAAGAAGCTGGAAAAACGAAGTGAATTTATGACGCCACGCACTCACTCCACACATATGAGACACTGTTTTACGGTACTCTAAACGAAGCGACCAGGTGTGTGCGAGTGGCCCTTCAGAATTCGAATTTATACCCAGACGACGATGGAATGTGGTGAGGTGGTTCGGTGACGTGTTAGTTACCGATGTCATCAGAAACGGTTAACATCTAGAGGCAATTCTATAATTATCACGCAGCACGTTATGACGTTGAATCTGACGTTTGCCTTAGGTGGAGACACGCAAAATGGCGTCGAATCTCATTTATGGAAAGCTGGAATTTACTGTTTTTGGTTGTGAATGGAAGATCAATTAACGAAGTAACAGGTTTGTCTATAGGTCTTGCACTGAAGTTTCTGAAAATCTCAAAATCCTCTAGTTTCAGTATAGATGACTATTCTGATATAACTTACAAAGAGAAACCTGCACTTTCTAAAATAGAATTTGAATCGTTTTTTCGAATGTTCCTTGAAATAAATGCTGGAAGGTCCAAAAAGAATTTAAGTGTTATTTTGGAAATTATTTTTTTTTCAATTGGGAATCATTTTTGCTTAATTGAGTATCTACAAATATCATGGTTCCTGAATTGTTCTGTCCACATTACGAGATTGGGATACTTATAAAAACCCTAGTATGTGGAATGAAATAGATCAATTGTTATAAGTTACAAAAAATATTTAGTGGAAAAAAATTACTTTGAACACTCCGAAACAAATTTTCTTTTGTTCTTTGGTACAAGACTTATGGACCAACCTAATATTCAAAATTTTACATCTGTCACACGGAAATAACAACAAGTTTTTGAAGATTCGAACGCCGACAAATTGTTTGCACTATATTTTAGCTACTAATCGTACCAAAAGAGCAGTTCTGAGTGCAGAAAAGAAAAGCGAAGTGATTTACTACAGTGCACCGCCGTATGCCAGTGGCGGCAGCCTTCGATTTCGGCTCCGCTTTGCCCGACAGACTTAGATCACCGAGAGCACTCGAGTATCTAATCGTAAACGACAAAGAGCATAACCCCTGTTGCCGGAAGTGAAAAACACCTTGTAGTTGTCCACAATATATCACTTGTACGATAAACTATGAGATTCGTCGAGACAAATCGAAAAGTCGCGAAACTCCTATGCGTTGCGGGTTTGAGTTGCAAATAACATCTAACAAACGTTTGAACTGCCACATGTTGGGGAATGATATTGAGTAAAGCTATAAAATTATGTCAGCTGTAAAGTTTTGATATTTTACTTTTTAAAGAGATCAAATTTTTCAAGCTTCCTTTCTGCGCTCCAGAAGAGAGCTGTAAATGAGTCTATATTCAGCAAAATGAGATTAAAAAACGGAACTGATACTGATTAGATTAACAGCTTTATTACTATATTGCGAAAATTTTTACTAATGATACATGTTGCAAGAAGAAATATGAGAATCACATAATTGAACTAATTGAGCGCTTAAGTCGAAGCTCAACATCAATCAGACACTATAGAGTTTTGTTATGAACGATCTCGTGCCTTTCCACCCCCTATATTTTTGAAAAAAGGAATCGTAATATCTAAGAGGTTTGTGAGTGCTATTTGCAAGTAGCGAGACAGTTTTGTTCAAGGATTTTATAATCTTCATTTAAAACAAATTCTGTACATTTTCTATAACTGTATAAATTCCTTGTAAGCAGTTTTTGATTGAACTAACGTCCATCTATGCAGGAAAAGATGGGAAAATCAACATTATTCTCAGTGAGCAAGAAAAAGCAATGATGGCTAGCGTCGTGCGTGCTCAGGTGGTCAGGAAAGGGGCCAGCACAGAATACAAAATAGCGTTCTATGTTGCTTCCAGAGAATCCATTATACTTTTCTGGATGCACTGCCACTGTCATGCCACCCACGCTGCACTGTCGTATGTTATAGATAATCGTCAATTAGCATATTTTGTAATCGACCGACAGAAAATGAAGAAAAACAAAAAATGAAAGTATCGAAGTTCGTATTCTCGAAGATGAAATGGCTAGCCCAGACAGATTTTATGAGGCAAAAAAATTGTAAATTACAAGCTATAATAACATGAATCACCCGGCTTTCCTCTGACAATTTATGGAATCTGAAATTGTCTCGCTTCGATCAAAAAATACTGAAGAATGTAGG